ATCCTATGCTTTTCCTCTATTTTTCCTATGCCACCGAAATCAAGTTGTTGGCAGTGAGAATTTTCTTGTGTAGGAGTGTCCATGCAAAGAACCAGCATTTAGGTTCAGCATGTGCCTTCCAAATTGGCGTCAATTTTAGCTTGCTGAAAGATCCTTCAAATCAGATGTTGTATGCGCTTTTGGTGGTGTATTCCCCATCTACCGTCCATCTCTAATGTATTGTGTCCTCACTATTTTCCTGTAGTGTAGTTTCTTGTACTCGTTCCCACAGTGCGGCGTACTCATGCAGCTCTTGAACTGTTTGCACCTATGCTTCATTCCTGTGAACGGAAAATGAACAGTAGTTATTCTTATACGATTCTCAATCCTATGCTTTTCCTCTATTTTTTCTATGGACAAAAGGGGGCCTAAATGGCTAAATTTTAGATTTATATTGTGAGGTAAATTAAGAGCTCGTTCGACGCGGTTTCTCCTCAAGTGCTCTCTTCTGGGGAGCTATTTTTTGCGGTTCTAGTTCCTATAAAAAAAGTGTTTGAGGGCTGCTTAGCTGTGGTTTTTCGCACTAGGGATTTTACCTCAGTTCTGTTTTAAAGTATATAAGACGTTTTGTTTTTTAAGATATTATTTTTACTATATATCTAAATATAGTATGAAGCGTATAGCAAAAGTTTAAATTAACACCGTAGAAATGTGTATTTCCCCTATATGGGAGCACTGTGGGAGCAGGTACTGTGCATACGGGTACCAGACGTAGGCATGCACCGAAATCTTGCTTTGCATTAAATGCGACTCGACGAGTCGACGTGCGCAACCGACGATGGAATTGAACGACCCGATTCGCGGCGTATCCGGCGGATCAGATCATCATCCGTGACACGGTGTATGCATCACGCTTCCAGCCGCAGCGCACACACACACACTGGTCCTCCACCCGTTCCGTTCGCACGGGACGGCCGGGCCGCCGGGGGCGGCATGCCCAGACTGCCAAGCAAACACGGAGAGACGCGTTACGTTTGCGTACGCTAGCTGCCGTGTGACGGTGTGAAGTGATGGTGATGGCTCGGCGCACCCATGGAGGCATGGACGATCATGGACCGGACCACCACAGAACATTCTCGTGCGCGCATTTCAACCTCAGTCTGTTCGGTTGGCTGGTTCGTATCATTGCTGGTTCGTGAAGACGTACTGTTGGCTGATTTGTGTGAGAAAAAAATACTGTTTCTGCTAAAAATTTATAATTATTTACGACGAGCTACGATCAAACGAACAGGCTGTGAGTACGGAGTAGTACATAAACCTGTCGTTAGGGAGGGTATGGACATACCCGGGCTTACCAATCCCCAAAATTCATTTGTGAAATTATCCATTCTTATCCTCCCCGTAATTCCCCATACCCATTGGGTAATAACCTGATACATCTAAACCAGGAACATGCTCTTCGACTGTTTACATTCGCGTGCTCGAATCAACTGAGGACTCGTTTAGTTCGTTTAGTTCCCTCTCAAGAACATATGCGTGGAGTATTAAATATAGACTAAAAAATAATTAATTATACAGATTACGACTAATTTGTAAGACAAATTTTTAAGCCTAATTAGTCCATGATTTGATAATGTGGTGTTACAGTAAAGCTACGGTATATGTGCTAATGATAGATTAATTAGGTTTAATAAATTTGTCTCGCAGAGTACTAAGAATTTCTATAATTTATTTTATTATTACTATCTGAACACTCCCATCTAATACGTGGCACCTCACCCTAAACTTTGTTCCTGAGTTTAAACAGTCCCGGATAAGCGATGGAAACCAAAATCAATACGCAGAGTGAGGCCCATGCCGGCATGCCGGGAGGAGTCTTGCACCTTGCAGCCGCAGAGAACGGACGGAGCAGTGTGGGGGGAAGGAGCGACCATGAGGCGCGCGGCGGCGTGGGATGTCGCTGCCGTCGTCGTCAGGCGCAGCGCCGCCGCCTCGCGCTGCCCCAACATCCGCACCTCCAGCTTCTCCTTAAAGGCCTCCGGCGGCACCACAGTGACGGCTACGGACGGTGCCGCCGCGGCCTGCTGCTTGACCTCGATCTCGAGCCGCTCTGCGCGGGCGCGCAGCTCAGCGATGTAGGCAGTGGCGTCGGCGAGGAGGGACGCCCTGTCGATCTTGGACACCGTGGGGACGGCTGCCCGGAGGTCGCAGAACCGGCGGTTGAGCTTGTCCCGCCGCTGCCGCTCCGCTTCCACGTGGCTGAGGACGGGGCCGACGGTCCTGGGCCCGGGCTTGCGGCCCCGCCGCCACTTGGGCGCAGGTGCCGGCGGCGGTTTGTCAGACACATCGTTGCCTGCTGCCGGTGCCGAGGGCGTGGCCCCATTGCCCAACACTGTCGCTGTGCTGCCGTCCCAGAGCTTATCTACCCCGTCGTCATCCACCAGCCATTGCTCGGGGACGTTGCAGTACTTGAACTCAAGCACCGGGTGTTGGCCGCCGGCCAGGAGACGAGGAGCGCATGCTGCTAGCTGACGCGGTATTCACGGCAGCGCCGGCGACGAACCTCCAGCCTGCTCCACGGCCGTCCCCCCTCCCACCTACTGCTGGTGCCAGAAGCTGCCGCGGTGTCCGCGGACGGAAGGGCGCAAGCAGTTGCCGCAGTGTTCGCGAACAGAAGGGCGAAAGCCGCAAGGAAGGAGATGGGATTATGGATAACGGGGATATCCGTACCCTACCCTTAATCCATCGGGTAGCAGGAGATTTACCCATACCCGACCCGAACCAGGTATGAATTTGGGGGAATGGATTCGAATATCCAACGACAGGTTTAGTAGTACATAATGGAACTCGCCCGTCGACACGTACGCGCGGGAGACCCATCATGTGGCGGGAGACGTACACGCACTGCACTACTACTACCATCACGCACATGCATCGTCCATAGAGATGCCTTCTAGAACGTTCTCCAGCTCAAATTCATAGGAATTCAAGAATTAATCTGGATAGGGGGAAAAAAATCTTTACATCCTAGAATTTCATCCAAACACCTTAGGTATTTAGAGAATTCTAACACACAGACACATAATTTAAGAAATATCAGTAATCTAAAAAAAAGAAATATCAAAGATTTTTTTTTTCATTCGGAATCCGCATTTTAGAATCTTATTCAAACATGTCATAAATTAGGGATACGAGACTTGCAGTTTCAGTTCATGGTGTAGTATACCGCACGCCAAATGCCTAAATCGATCCCAAGTTTATATTGTTGTTAGGCAAATTAAATCCGTAGCACCGTAGAAATATATTTCCCCTCTGTGTAGTGTACGTACTGTACATATGGGTGTACCCTAATGTAGCCCTGCACCGAAATTAATGCGACTCGACGACGTACGGAATTGAACGACCCGATTCGCGGCGTATCCTCGGCCGGCGGTGGCACAGACCAGCTAGTGTGGTCACTGCCTCACTGGTCCTCCACGCACGCACGGGGGCCAAGGCATGCACGCCCAGACTGCCAAAGATACCGAGACGCGTTACGTTTACGTACGCTGCTACTAGCTGCCGTGTGAGGTGTGATGCCAGCAGCGTCTCCCGTGGCGGCCGCACACATGTTTGCCGTTCCCCACATGATGTATCACACATCACGCATACTAATACTGATAATAATACTCATAATAATACAGTACTATTATTAGTAGCGTATCGATCTGCACCGGGCACCGGGCACCGGGCAGCTGTCACTTTACACGCCCACCGGATTTAATTACCGCGCCCACGCACGTGCTTTCGCTATGGTTTTTCACTTCTGCTCCGGTAGTTTCACGCTCATTTCCTACGTGGCTTTGCCTAAGGCCCAGATGCAAAAATTTTTGCAAAATGAGCGCTGTAGCATTTTTGTTGTTATTTAGCAATTAGTGTCCAATCATAGTCTAATTAGGCTTAAAAGATTCGTCTCGTGGATTTCGTCTAAACTGTGTAATTAGTTTTATTTTTTATTTATATTTAATACTTCATGCATGCGTCTAAAGATTCGATGTGACGAAGAATTTTAAAAAATTTGGCAAAACGAAGTGAAACTAAACAGGCCCTAAATTAGCGTAATCTTCTTTGCTGTACGGAGTATGTATACCTAGTCAAGGAAGGCGGTAAAAGCAGCCGGAAAAAACCATTATGTCGGAAAATCATTTCTCGATCTACACGACACAGGAGCGCGTACTTAGAACTTGCTTAGCTCCTCCACTAAAATTTACTCACTATCACATCAAATATATAGATACATATATAGAGTATTAAATATAGATTAAAAAATAATTAATTATATGGATTACAACTAATTTAGAAGATGAATTTTTTAAACCTAATTAATCTATAGTTTGATAATGTAGTGCTACGTAAACATGTGCCAGTCGTCCTGTGGATTACCGAAAACTTACGTGATTTGTTTTATTAATAGTGTCCAAGCACTTTTACATGACAGCTCGACGTGACATTCATTTTAACTTTAGTCCATAGATGACACACCCTTACTCCTCTCCGGTATTGATCTCCTCGTCCCGCGATCATTTGTACTGGCCCGTCTCGTCGTCCCGCCACGCGTCCCACTGACGCACGCTTTCCCGCCAAGGCAGCAGCAGCCGCCGCCGCCGCCGGACCGGGGACCGGGACCCCCGAGGCCGAGAAGCAATGCGTCCACACCCAGCTCGCAGCCGTCCACCTGTCACAACGGCCCTCACGCTGACCGTACAACCGCCCCCGCGGTTCTATATATACCCCTATCCCACACCTCAACGGCGCCTCCATTCATTCATCGCAAAATCATTCACAGAAACGATCGTAAATTTACATATTTTTTATACGATACGATACGGCCTTCCTCGCTCCGTCGCCTCCGATTCTCTCACGCCAAATCAGCCATATACGATACGGCCTTCCTCGCTCCGTCGCCTCCGATCACCTCAGCTGCTCCTGTAATTCGATCGGACGATTAGCTAGCTAGCTGCTGAACCGCGCGCGCGCGCGCCATGGGGAACCACAAGAAGCTGCTCCAGTTCCTGCGGCCGGACCTGGCGGTAGCGGCGGCGCCGGCGAAGTCGTCATCGACGACGTCGGACGACGACGACGACTCCTACTGCGGCTATAACACGACGTGTTCCACGCCGGCGACTCCGACCACGAGCGCGAGCGCGAGCGCGAGCACGGCGGCGTCGCCGTACGCCGCGTCCCCGTGGACGCAGCTCCCGGGGCTGAGCCCCCGCAGCGGCCCGGACGACGCGACCAGGCAGCGGACCGGGCTCCTCGGCTCGCTCGTCAAGGAGGGCGGCGGGCACGTCTACTCGCTCGCCGCGGAGGGGGACCTGCTGTACACGGGCACGGACTCGCGGAACGTGCGGGTGTGGCGGGACCGCCGCGAGCTGGGCGGGTTCCGGTCCGGGAGCGGCCTCGTGAAGGCCATCGTGGTGGCCGCCGACGGCCGCATCTACACGGGGCACCAGGACGGGAAGGTGCGCGTGTGGCGGCGCGCAGAGGACCCCGCCGCCGGCGCCGCCGCGGTCGGGCAGCACCGGCGCGTGGGGTCGCTGCCCCGGTTCCGGGACGTGGTGCGGAGCTCCCTCCGCCCGTCGCAGTACGTGCAGACGCGGCGGCGACACAGCGGCCTCTGGATGCGGCACTTCGACGCCGTGTCGTCGCTGAGCCTGGACGCCGCGGCGGGGCTCATCTACTCCGCCTCCTGGGACCGCACCTTCAAGGTGTGGCGGGTGTCCGACTCCAAGTGCCTCGAGTCCGTGTACGCCCACACCGACGCCGTCAACGCCGTCGCCGCCGTGGGCTTCGACGCGCTCGTGCTCACGGGCTCCGCCGACGGCACGGTCAAGGTGTGGCGGCGCGGGACGAAGGCGGGGAGCAACAAGAAGAAGGGCCGCCGCGACCAGGCGGACACGTGGCACACCATGGAGCGCGTGCTGCGGGAGGGCGACAGCGCGGTCACGGCCATCGCGGTGGCCGTGGAGTCCCGCGTGGTGTACGTCGGCTCCTCCGACGGCGCCGTCGCGCACTGGCAGTGGCGGCGCGGCGCGGCCCCCGGCGCCGCGCCGAGGAACGGCGGCGCGCTGTGGGGGCACAAGATGGCCGTGCTGTGCCTCGCGGTCGCCGGCCGTGTCGTCGTCAGCGGGTCCGCCGACCGGACCATCAACGTGTGGCGCCGCGAGGAGGGCGCCGACCACGCCCGCCTCGCCGTGCTCACGGGACACACGGGCCCCGTCAAGTGCGTCGCCATGGACACAGAGGAGGTGGACGGCGCCGGTGACGACGACGCCCCGCGTCGGTGGGTCGTGTACAGCGGCAGCCTCGATGGGTCCGTCAAGGTGTGGCGCGTCTCCGACTCGGGCGGCTGCGGCGGCGGCATCGCGCCCGACCTGACGACGACGACCCCTGCGCGCTACTGGAAAGGCTCCTCGCCTTCGCCGCTGCGATCGTGGACAGATGCCGCGCGCGTACCGCGTGCAGCCGAGAGTAGAATAGCTTGCCTAGCCTAGGCGGTACACGACGGTGTACGTACGTTGAAAGTTCGTTTTTTATACGCCGTATCTACGTCGTAGTAGTATGTATGGCGCTGTGTATTATTTTTTTAGAGAAATACTCAAGCACAGTTGCCTAATAATCTGCTTATCCGTCTGTCGACGGGCTCACAAGAAGATGAACGACTGACTAATTAACTCCGACGCTGTGCCCAACCAGGCACCGGCCGGCCGGCGATCTCTCCCAGCCATCCAGGCACCGCATGCCGGTCCACTGACACCGCTAGATAGCTCAGGGGCGCTTGCACATTGAGGGTTTTTGTGCGGTGCAGTTCAGGGTGCACAAGCAGGTAGGTATAGCCAGGTCAAGCAAGTAAGGAAGGGCCGGCGGCCCGGCTGTGCTTTTGCGGCTGGGCACTCGGCGAAGCAAGAGGTCGAAGATGCAAAATCTCATGCAACTGCTGTGGAGACACACCCTTTTTTTTTATAGTTGCGAGCAATGTTGCATTGCATCCATTTGTAGCTAGGAGCTGGCGCGCTAACGTGGCCGGCTGGGTGTGGTTGCGATCTGGTCGGTGGCCAGTTGCGGCCGGTGGGCCCGGAGGATGGTGCGAGACGGGGTTGTGGAAGCTCCCAAGCAAGCTGCTGCCTGCTGGCACGAAAGTTAAAGGCGGGGAAGAAAATTGGGAGGCTTTTAGTTGGGAGATGTGAACGTTTTTTGTGTGGATTTTGGACTTTCTCGGCTTGCGTTTGCTGGTTTGCAAGAAAAGATGTACGTACATATCGATTTAACCTGTGGCTTGTGGACAAAAGGAAAGAAGGAAAAAATGTTTCTCTGGTTTGCTCCCGTTCCATCGTCACGAGTTGTTGGGTTGGCGCGATTAAATGCATCATCCATCTAGCTTTTGTATAGATTTCTCTGCTTGGATCAGTGCCCTCAAACAACTCTTTGAAAGAAAATTAAAGGCACTCTTTTTGTGTATTTAAGAAAGCAAGAACTTTTGAAAGATACTCCTACCCGTGATCATGTAACATCGGAAAGCATATATATATCGACGTTCATCCGATTATATTGTTCCATGAAAAAGAAAATACTATCATAAGGAAATATATATAAAACACACACGCCTGCAAATCATTTGTAGCCGCCGTGCTAGAACCCTAGATGTGTATGCACTTTCCGCGACAAGCTGACAATGAATTTGCAAAGGCAGGTTACATATACTCCACTAGTACCAAATGATGAAGAAAGGCGGTACGGGGGGGAAATTAATGGATTGGCGATGAACCATCCCATTCGAAACAATTAAAAGATAATAACGGATCTCTTCTTTGTGACGTATGGTGGGCGAGAGGCAGAGAGACACCCAGGTGGTCTAGTACAGTTTTTTTTTACTTACTTACACTGCTAAATGCTAATAATACTACCATGTACCATCAGCAGCAACGCTCACCCTGTTCGTTTATGTTGAAATTTAACTTATATTGATGTTTATGCTGAAATATTGTAAGAGTAAAACACTGTTTAAAAGTAGCTCAAGCCTTTGTGAGCAGTAGTGACACGCTCGTTGCTTAGCTAGTGCATAATGACGTTCCGGAGTAGTAGTAGATAAAGAGAACAGGAAGGACTGGATTGTCGCATGCTGTAATCCTAACCCATTTGACTTCTAGCTTGCGCCGCTGCGATCCCATCCTTGGGACGGACCGACGGAGAAGGGCGAAAATCAAATCTGACCACGGAGCCCGAGAAAATTCGTCACAAGACAAGATCGATGCGAGATCTCGCCGGAGTCAGAGCCGGAAACTTGCCGGACCATCCGACGCCTGCTCTGCATTTCCCACACTACTACTCGTCTACACCCCCCGAGCTTCGTCTGCCGAAAATCCAAGAAGATGCCAAACCGCTTTCCACATCTTGCAATTTCACATCTGGTCAGAACTCAGACGAGACAGAGAGCAGGGCATTCGGGGGTCTCTGTTTATGGGAGGAAAGAGTCCAAAGACTTCCCTGGTCTTCCGTCCGGAAATGGGCAGGGAAGAATTTGTATGTTGTAGTCTTTGTAATCAGTCAGGCAGGCATGAAAGAACGAACGGGGAGGTTTCTTCTTCTTTTTCTCTTTTCTCAAACAGGCATGAATTATTTATTTGTTTACATATAGGAGTACTGCTCTTGTACAGAGAGCGATGAGTGCTCCAGTAGAGCTAAGTTAAAAGGAACAGCAATTTTTATCTCCAAGTCCGACACAAACTGCCATCATCTCCGGTCTCGACAGACGAATACTCCAACACGGACAGCCAAAGTTACCCCCAAACGAATGGCTTTTTATCTGCTGATGAGTTATACCTGCAGGAATTGTGGACTACTAAAACCATCGAAACCCGGGACAAGCAAGGCAGCCAGGATCACTTGTTTTCCAGGAGAAGCACCTAGTACGCACTTTGGAAGGGTTCTTCTCTTCGCTAACCCAAATGATTGTGATTCAGCAGCAGCAGAGTCAAAAATGCAGCCGCCGCAAGAGTTGCGTGTCGTTGTCTGATCTGCCGAGCGTAATGGAGGCCAGGATGACTTGCAACTGGACCTGGCCGGCCGGCCGCGCGCTATCTTGTCTTCGCTTTGGTGACAGCTTGACACGATGATCTGCGCAACGATTAGCAAAGCTTCTTTGAGAACACTTGTAGGTTTTGCATATTCATTTGCCAGTGGCCACTTACGGTTTGCGCTAAGCAAAGTTTCCTTATTCATTTGTTGATGAAGGTGGGCGGCCTTTGGAAAGTACGGAGTAGGGTTCAGCTTCAGCATTTAGGCTGGCCCATGTTCCAGCCACCAGCCACCAGCCACCAGCCCATCCTTTTTGGAGAAAGTGGCCCAGCCCAACGAAAAAATTAACACGGAGGTAAAATTATCCTTATGTCCATATTAAGTAGAAGTAGTTCCTGAAAGCACGCATTAAGGCTAGAAGTCTAGCTGTATTTTACTTTAGACGATCATTAAGAAAATAAGAAGGATGCATTAAGCTAGGCTTCCTGGGTTCATCTTCACAAAGTCTAGGTGGAAATGAATCAAACAATTGATGCATAGAAACTACTCTATGTTCCCAAATAGTAGAAGATTAATAATTAAGGAAGAATACAGTGAAACTTCATAGATTAATTATTCATGCCTGATGAGGCAGTCCATCGGAGCGTGTGGAATTTTTTTTTAGAAAGGCGGCAAGAGCTTTGCCGTATTTTTATTGGACAAGAAAACGGGGAAATAAAACAGATTTACAGCAACTTACATGGCGACTCGACTTGAAACTACTATGCCACACAACCAAAAGACTACGAAAACTGAAACAAACGGAAAAAAGTAACTGGCTCCAAACCACTACACCGCACCAGCGTAAAAACCTACTCAACAACAGTGCTAGGTCTTGTTGCCCATTGGTATTGTTGAATTTCATCCTTGCACAGGTGCGCTACTTGGATCGGTTGCAGATGTTTTTGTTGGAAAGTTCTTCTATTGCGTTCCTTCCATACATTCCACCAGTAATAGATCATGACGCCATCTGTCTTTTTACGTTCACTTCTATCAAACTTTGCTCGGCATTTGCGCCAGTAACTATGTAAGGATCCATTCATTCCAACCGAGTTTAGCGCGGATAGATTGAGCCATTGTTTTAAATAGGACCAGACTTGCTTTGAGTAGGTGCAATCTTTGCAAAGATGAGTTGGTGTTTCTGGGTCTATTCTGCATAGTTTGCAGATACGATCATTTGCCCAGTTGCGCTTCATCAAGTTGTTGGCAATGAGAATTTTCTTGTCTAGGAGTGTCCATGCAAAGAACCGGCATTTAGGTTCAGCCTGTGCTTTCCAAATTGGCATCAATTTTAGCTTGCTAAAAGATCCTTCAAATTGGATGTTGTATGCACTTTTGGCTGTGTATTCCCCATCTACTGTCCATCTCTAACCTATTGTTTCCTCACTATTTTCCTGTAGTGTAGTTTCTTGTACTCGTTCCATTGTGCGGCGTACTCATGCAGCTCTTGAACTGTTTGCAGCGGTAGGATATGTGCCACCCACCGGTTATCTTGAAGTGCCTTCCGCACCGTAATCTTTTTTCTCTTAGATTTTCGGAACAGGTTTGGCGCAATGTTCTTTGGCGAGGTCCCCTCAATCCAGGACGACGTCCAAAAATTCGCAGTTTTACCATCTCCTATTGTTACCACCGTGGAGGCCGCAAAGAGATCACAATCCGCCAATCCCATGGCAGGTCCAGGCTATTCCAAGCATGCTCCTTGTGTTTCCACTTGAACCAAAGCCATCGTAGTCTTAGCGCACGGGCAAAACGTTCTAGGTCCAACACCCCCATCCCCCCTTTTTCTTTCAGTCGACACGTCGTTGGCCAGTTTACTAGAGAGTGACCGCCATACACTTTGCCTGGGGTCTCACCCCTCCATAGAAAACTCATCGTTATCCGATCGATCTTCTGTACTAACCATTTTATTTCTGAGAAGGCGGTCATGTGATATATTGGTTGTGCCGAGAGAACCGTCTTGACTAGAGTTTCCCTTCCAGAAGTAGACAGAAGCTTCCCTTTCCATCCTAGCAGTCTTGCACCTATCTTATCTGTCAATGGACCAGCCTCAACAACGGCTAGAGCCCGCCTATCTTTAGCATGCATGCCATGTAATGCCTGTGCCGCACTCGCCGCGTCAAGATCCGCAGAGCGTGCTCCGCACGCCGCATGCGCGCCCGGTCACCGCGGCGCCCACGCTCCTGCGCTAAGCCCGCTCGCGCATGCGCTGGAGTGGCCACGTCCACTGATTGTATACTATATATGTACACACACAAGATCAATGCAACTCGTCCAGTTGATCTACATACTCTTTCATGGTATCATCGTCCACGTGAAGGACACGTGGACGCCTAAGAGGGGGGGTGAATTAGGCAACTTAAAAATCTAACTCAAGACTATGGCCTCTTTTTCTACTTCTAGCAAAACCTATGCAAAAGATAATCTATCTAGATGTGCAACT